TCCCCCCCCCTTTTCATATGTCTATAATTTTCCTTTGTTTTATTATCATTTTGAACTGAATATATAGATATATATATATATATATATAAATTTAAACCTTTTGCTTTGTAAATTGATCAAAAATATAGTATTTTTGGGAAAAGATTCACATCTGTAACAATAAAAAACAATCAAGGACAATAGCATCAATTAATTCAAAAAAAATTTTTAAATTCAATTTCAATCCTAATAAAGTATTCCGATAAGCCATAGTATAGTTCAGTGACATAAAACAATTTAATTTAGTAGCGCCCAAATACTTTTTTTGAAACTGTCTTATAATGTTTAATAAACTTGCAGGAGTAGGTTTGACACTATTAGCTATTTTCTTCCCCTCTTAAATTCCTTCATGATTTTATTAGTATTATGAGTATTGTTGAAAATATAATCTTCTTTTGGGAACGTCACAAATCTCGATAATTTTTACCGAAGTTCTTTGGTATTAATTTTGATACAATTTGCAATAAAACAAGGTTTTAAAGTGATATTTGAAATAAGTTTCGTGAAATGTGATACGAAATGAAAACTATATAATAGTTTTTAATTATTTTATTTCGTGGAAACTGTCAAATATTTCAATAAATATTATTTTTAATGATCTTAATATAATCGAAAACTTACAAAAGCTCCAATTTTATGAAGTCTATTTTATGTTTTATGAAAGAATGGAACTCAGAAAAATATTTAAAAAAAATGCTGATACACGTTTTGTCACATTTGATTTGTAACAATTATGTGTGACATGTAATTAGTACATTCTTGAATTTTTAAATAAATAGAAATTTAAAAATAAATATTTTCTTAAACCTTTCTCAGAAAATAGCATTAGTTCAAACTCCACATCTTCCTGATGAAAAGTATGGTCAAAAGTATGAGATTATAGTAAAATTTATCACGATTTTAACACTATGAGAACATCGAAAATCTTGATAATTTTTGCCGAAGAGCTTTGTCATTAATTATGGTAAAATTAGCAAAAAAAAACACGATTTTTTTTTATCATATAATTATTTTTTACCATATGGTTGGTAGTAGTTGAGGTTAAATTTGGTAATTTATCACGAGATCTTAGATGATGGCATAAAAAACTTTTCTTCCCGTAAATCTCTTGTTTCAGTTTCGTGAATGTGTTTTAATCTTTCGTGGTGGTTTAACCTATTGGAAGAGTTACAACAGTCACTGAATTCGGATTAAATTGAATAATAATGATTTCTTTTTCTTTTCCTTGCCAGAAATTAATCAAAAACACAAAATTGAAAATAAATAAATTGAAGTAATCAAGTTATTAAATTTCCATTTACAATGCATTTTCACTGTGGTAAATTGTTGGTCCTCAGAAAGATCCAAAGCCA